GTAACTTTTTGATGAAAGGTCATACAGAGTTGTGCGAGGTCTTATTTTGATCAGAAACATTTGCTCTACAAAGCTGTGTTTTCAAAAAAATTTGAATTGCATGAGTATCCAGGAGAAAAACATTATTTAAAGACCCATTTTTTCGAGGCTCTTGGAAAACTTGCTCAAAATCCCCGAAAAAACAGTTTTGTAACCAAAAGCAATACAGATTCTGAAAGTAGACACTTCAGGCTATCTTTCCATGTGTGTATCTTAAAACCGATTTTTTGACCGAAAATCACCATTTCTGAGGGGGGGGCCCTTAAGAGGCATTCTTTTCTTTTCTTTTCTGAGGATACATCAGATAATAGTGCCAAGACAGNCCCCCCCCCCCCCCCCCCCCCCCCCCCCCCCCCCCCCCCCCCCCCCCCCCCCCCCCCCCCCCCCCCCCCCCCCCCCCCCCCCCCCCCCCCCCCCCCCCCCCCCTTAACACAAGATCTTGGCCAAGATCTTGAGTGAAGTACGCCAAGATATTTCAAGATCTTGAGTGAAAGATTCAAGAATCCAAGATCTTGACTTCTTGGCGTTTTTTCCAAGATCTTGTGACATTTCTTAACCCAGATCTTGCGTACAAGAAGTTTCACTAGGGTTACTGTTAGTTATTGAAAATACAATAAGAAGAGTACACGCGCACACAAATGAACCCTAGATTTTTCTTTTTTACATTTTTTAGGCTTTTGAACGTTTACGTTTAAACGGGTAAACATCAGAGATGAGCACAGGATAGGACATGCGGTCGTTCTGCTGTCCTGTCCTGCCGCTCAGCACGACAGGTGATGGTTGAGCGGCAGGACAGAACAGGACGCACAAGCTGGTCCTGTATTTTTATATCAAACAGTGCTAACTTCATCACTGGTCGATAAAAGTATCAAATCAAGAATATAAAATAATAAAAAATATAATCAGCTAAGCAATACTGATCTGTTGTTATTTTTTCATTCGTACTCTTATTGATTTCTTGTTTTACTTTGGCATTCTTTTTGATTTTCAGATTTCTTACACGTTCAAAACAAGGCGATATATGGATTTAGTTGAAAGCAGAGATGAGCACAGGATAGGACATGCGGTCGTGCTGCCGCTCGACAGGACAGAGGTCAACTAAAGAACAGGAATGGACAGAAAAAGTTGTCCCGTGGTCGTCTCTGGTAAACGTTAAAAAAGGTTCGACTACAAATTTCTCTTCGGCGAACTACATAAGTTCTCTTATTAACTATTCACCATAAATAAATATCGTCTTTCTTATGAAATGTTATCGGATAGCTTACTCTGACACTTCGTACTCTCTTTGCCATTGCCATCAATGAGATGTTACAGAAGCTCTCCTTTACATAGACAGAAGCACTTAAAATATCAAGTATATACTGGAGCGTAGTATTGTTTTTGACATATGGTTCATTTTAAAGAACAATCCGCATTCTCTTCATTTTGCGATAAGTCTGACGAGGGAAGGTCTCCAACTATTGCATCGATTCTGACCCCATCTTTTGGTCACATGAATACCTCCTCGGCGAAGCTAGAAAAAACGCAAAAAATATTTCGTGACCAAAGTACTTCTTGTCGAGCTATCGAATTTTTTGTTCGTATAGGTATTACAAGAGGTTTTCACTCTTTTCACGTAAGCATACAACACACCCAAACGTCAAAAACAAATGTAGTATCGCCCGATTCATCTGATTGCAAGCATTGGGTAACGACAGTGGAAACCCAGTAATCGTTTCTTCCTAGTTTCTTCTAGTTTACAGCTATCGATTTATCGAGCGATAATCGATCGAGTTAACTGTTGCTAGTTGCGCATTCAGACTCATCTAGTTAAAAGTCTCTTTTCCAACTAATAATCTAGATGGCAACTAGTCGTGTATCATCCAATTACAGACGAAATGTGTCAAGATTTTTCTCTTAGGTGATGTTTGTTTGGACACGTAAAAGATCTGACAATTCGATTAATGAATGTGATAGCGGCTTGGCGCAGTAACTCTGCTACTGTAATGTTCTTCCGAAACGGTTTTTCTACATTTTTTTCTTTCATAGTTTTCGAACGAAAGCAGCTCCAAAGCTCTGCAACTTTTCCGAAAAAGTAGGTGTTTGTATTTTTATCTCAGCTTTTGAACGAAAATCATGTACAGTGTAGAAACATCTCAAAATGTTCAACACGCTTTTCTCTTCACTTTCACATGGTGCGGAGCTCTGACTCTACATTCGTTCCAAAATCTTGAAAGAAACAACATGCAGAAAAAACGTAAATGAAGGACACTGTGGTAGCAGAGTTACTTGACCAAGCCGAAACAAAGAAGTAGTCGAAGCAGATAGCTTGTTGACACCAACTATGGATGATGAAGAGAGAAGAACTTAAGGCTTTTTGATGACATGAGCTTTTCTCGAAAATACAACAGACTTGATGAATGTTTTCGAATTAGCCGCTGTCAAACCAGGCGTATCTGATAAGGTCGTGACGCATTCCTGAAGGGAGAGATCGTGAGAAGGCGTGTCTAACCACATCTTTTATCTTTCACAACGCAATACGTGTGTTGTGTGTAGCCAAGTTTATGTGAAAGTTAAAGAGGGAAAATCTCCGTCACTACCTATATGATCAAAAAATTCGATATATTGACTTGGTTTAGTCAACTGAACACACTATCTACCTCTGATGCACTACACAAAGTCAGTGTTAGTAGGTTCACTGATTTTATTTCAATTTTAATCTTTTGAAAAGAATTGGTACCAGTTCCGTTCTTTTGAACGCGAACTGTTACCCGTTCCCGTTCAAAAGAACGGAACTGGAACTGTCCCACCCCTAATCTCAAGACCTTTGGAGTCAATAGGATCGATACTTTTGATACAGCTACCCAATACTCACGTCTATTTGAGCAACGTTTTGGTTGCTCTATGCATCATCGAGAAAAAAATCGGTAAAACATTAGTTTTTGCTATGCAGAGATTATAATTTCGATATCTCGACAGGGAACGGTGGTGGGCACGAAATAGTTTTAGTTTCTAGTTTCATCGAGGTCTTCATGTGGCGAAAAAAATCGATCCGACCGTTGGAGACCTTTCCTCGTAAGTTAAAACTATTTTTTAGACGAATACGTATTGGCGGAATAGTTGTATTACTGTGCGCTCAGATGGTTTTTTTCTACCCTTTTATGTCAACATTTGAAAAACTTGAAATGGTACTAGCTCAAAATTGAAATAGAGAAACGGTGTATCAACTCAACTTGACTCAACTGCACATAATATTTCAAATTTGATTTCTAGATTTATGTTGATCTTTCCTAAATGCTAAACAAGCATCATATTGGAATTTCCACGCTAAAATACACGCTTACCGAGTTTCCCGACTACTTTTCTTCCTCACTAGTGTGAGAGAAAACATTCAATTCTTTTTACATCGAAGATTTTTAATTCAGTATTACCACGAGACTAATAAAAGTTTTATCATTTCCATAATCATCAATTTCACCATACCATTGAAGATCTAGATGTTTTTGTACAGTTTTTGTTGCTAAAAATGATCGACAATGATTTTCCTCAGCTAATTGTAATGGATTATAATTAAAATATAAACGAGATTTTGTTGTCAATAATTCAGTGGCAAATTGTTCGTCTTCATCAAAACAAAGATCAATTATTTTTGATGCATGTATAGCAAATTCTCTATTGCAAAAAAAAAACATAAATTATTTTTAAATAACTGCAATATGACGACATATTTATTACTCTTTTTTTCTCTTGTAGTGTATGCGTTCTTCATCATCACTCGTTAAATCTACTGCATTTCGATAGATTTTATTTGCTACTAGTGCTGCAACCGTCGGATTCTAAAACACATGTCACATATACGTCATTCTTTTATTCAATAATACAGTACCCCGCAAAAGTAGCGACCTCCCTGTAACTCAAGAATCATGATAGCCATGGACTTCTACTTTTGTATGGTAATAGCTGTTACCCAATGCTGATCAACCACAAAGTTTGAATCTCGTTTACTGGATGGTTCGTACGATATATGCGGTTCACTTCTTTTCCACAAAATGCTAATAACACCTGATCCAAGAAAGATGCAAACGTTTTCTTTCTACCAAAATGTAGTCCATATTCTCCTCTATCTACGGTATGAAGTTAAGCAGGAAGCTGCTAATGGATAGTGAAATACAGCCATTTTACGATAGAGACCCCTAGAAATGAGGTCTCTTCTAAAAAAGGTTCATAAATGTATATCATAATCAAGAAAAAATAATTATAGAAACCTATGGTTCCGAAAAACGTATATGAATCTTTTATCAGAAAGATCACGCTCACTACTCACCCAGGTTAATAGTGCGAGAGAAGATTTTACGACCGAGACCTCTAAAAATGAGCTTCCTTCAAAAAAAAATTCATAACTCATTCTAGGAATATCAGTTCATCTTAAAACTCACACGACAACTATAGACTCTTCGACAACTATAGACTGTCCAGTCAAAGTATGACGGTTAACAACTGTGTGATTCTGGAAATTGATTGAGAATGAGCACCCACTATTGAAATTTACGTCTAGCGGCGAGAGTGAGGGACTAAGGGTCAATCTTTCTACCATGGAATCTGAATTCAGTGTAAATTCACATCACAATTATTGAAAAATAACCGTAGAAAACTGGTTCCGTAAAACATATGTGAAACTTTTGTCCGAAAGATTACAGACTCACCTATGATCTTCCCCATTCCACTTATTTTACGCTCTTTTCACTTCCCTTATATTTTCAAAGCAAAACTAATAATAATACACTAAACTAATGAGGTCAGGAGATAAAACTGAGTTGAACAACATAAGTACTTAACGTTTGGTTTTCGAACAAAAACATTCTATTGAAAATTTTCTCTCGCACTATTAACCTGGGTTAGTAGTGAGTGTGATCTTTCTGATAAAAGATTCACATACGTTTTTCGGAACCATAGGTTTCTATAATTATTTTTTCTTGATTATGATATACATTTATGAACCTTTTTTAGAAGAGA